ATTTTTCTACAGAATCACTTTACCCTTAAATATTCGGCTCTATACAAAGGTGGGCACGCCCAGCTTTTCACGCATGTCAAGTGACTGCCCTCACCCCCCCCCCTAGATTGGCTACACTCCCCCTGGCTCACGAATTCCCCGATTCTCGTGACAGTATAGTAGCGGCAGCAGTCCCACTTACATACATTTCTGTTCAAAAAATGCGGCGTGCCCACCCTACTTGTATAGCACCTAATTCCGCTACCGGTAGTAAAAACACCACTTTCCAGACGGGGTAATTTTTGGAGACAAACAGGAAATGGCAAATAAATCGAGCCGAAGGAGTCCAATAGGCGCAATTGTGACACGCATGCGAGTCACGCTGTCGGCAATACGATAAATTTTAGCTTCTTCGCGAGTTGTGTAACAGCATATTGGCTAATGTTTTGATAGGTTCACTTTCGGAGCCTCAGCACAGGGCTAAGCACTGCGTCGGGTAAATTTTTTAGCTAAGCACTGCGTCGGGTAATTTTTTTATTTTTTGTCTACAAAACATAGAAGTGCCCAGACAGCCACCACTTTAAAGGACGAATTCACGATGAAAAAGCAACCCATTTCAAATTAACCTAGGGATGGTGAGTGGTACACGAAAGAAGGAAGAACCATGAGAAACGGCCCAGAACCCGAGAAATGGGACCCCTTCCTTGCCCGTTGATTTGAGCATTGATGCGACTCTCATCGCTGTGCCCTCTTCAACACTACGCTCTCTCAGCTATCTAATCACTCGCCACGTATTGAACTACGGCGAGTGATCAGATGATCGGTGGGCGGAGATCGCCGGACCCGCCAGCTTTGAGGCATGATAGGTCGCCGAGGTCAAATTTTTCCATGCGAATTGCGCGTCAGTTCGCACCCTCAGGAGGTCCGTGGGTCCCTCAACTAGGTCAGTTTCCCTTTCTTCGACCTTCATTCTAATCGTGAATTCCTCCTTTAATTCAAAGCGCTCTTACCACCGAGCTTTCCTATTTTCCACCTCCCAAAAAGCCCATATAGGGGACTGAGAGCATCACTGTTACTTACCGAACTAAATCGCAACTACAACACACTTAACAACACAAAAAATTCTGCTGAATTTTCTTGAATTCTTTAAAAATTCCACTCCTATATTTTCAAAAGAACATGCTGGTCCTATTTGGTATCAACCCTTCGACGGAAATGAGTACGTTCCTCGCTGAGAATTCTTGAATGGTTGCGCATCCTTAGACTGGATCACAAGAACAACATTATCGACCTCAGGGCTGTGCACTGATCAATTCAACCATGAAAAATCAATATCAAGATTTCGTGCATCATGCTTGGACTAAACGTCCTTAACGGCAGGCTTCATATGTGAGATTCGTTTAGAGCCATTACTGCACTTGATCCTGCAAGGAATCGCATTCTGTAGGTCCTGCACCATGAACTCGACATCGACATGATTTCGACGAAGCAACCATTTTTTCTATGGAAACACTTTAGAAAGGAAATGCGAAATCAAAGCAAACACGTGAGCCACGAGAAGAGGGAAAAAATCGGACTGCACCTCCTTTGTCAATTTTTTTGACTCAAATTTTCCTAATTCCTATTAATCCCCTCCGCCACTCCCCCTTGCTCCCCCATGCATATACTTGCCGGACCATGTTACTGCCCTTTCCGAAATTTTGTTACCGATATGCGTCAAGCATGGATGAGCGATAACAAGTGCACATTCCGAAGCTCTACAAATCAAGTGCAACTTGAAGAGAAAAGCTCGACTCACCTAAGATCGATTTTTCTATATGTGTCGATACATGGAATAATGAAGATCATGCCGGGACCTCGAGCACCGCCGAACACTAGTCGACCAATTCGGAATATTACAACTCTTTCATATTCTTTTATAACCTGGAATATGCTTGAGTAGGGTTACGCGAAATATTTCTATTAAAGGTGCGCGCAGTCGCGAGGCGGCGCACTCAGTGAATCGATAAGCGCCGCAGCCGCGTGCGCCTAGGTCACCTACCCTCACGAGAATTATTGAAAATGCAGCCGTTTCGCTTACCTTCAGGCATACGCACATAGAGAATGGGAACGTGAGTATAATAAGGAGCCAGGATAACGCCACGAGTGCGTAGCCGAAAATGGTACCAATCGTTTCATAATCCGGTGGAACATCCTGAACAGTATTACGACTTGGTCATGTATTAAATATCATTTTTCGTAAGAAGCTCTAAGATAAAATTCTACTAAAAAGAAAAAGACTACATGGTTTGACAACATGCACGAGCACGAGTTGTACATGCTTCACAAGGTGCACAAAGCAGGTCCGCTCTGGCTTCGCTTCACTAGTTGAAGCTATGTCGTTCGTTTGGGTAATTCAATTTAGGATAAGTGTGGAAAATGCGTTTCCAATAACTCATTTCATGCGTCAATGGCCCAGTCAACTACACATTTAGGGCTCATCTGCTCAGTTTGCACAGTGACAAGCTACGAGCTCATTATGTGATCAATTGTTGAATGTTATATACCCAGGAGAACAGAACGCTTCAGAAGATTAAATACTGTAAATTTAGCTGTGTTCGTCATGACCTCAAGGCTACCGTAGCGAACATTCGCGACAGATCCAATCTTTTGAATCATAAGAACCCTAACATTCTGAACATCTGTTAACCTGCTCAATTTGCACATTGGCTCGTTAGTCACTTAGTATAAACTGGAGTACAGCTTTCTTACAGCGCCTTTCAGCTTTGTTGCGCTTGGTAATAAGTCTGATCGTCGTAGCAGCTATGCAAGGATCTGCTAAGTTCTCCGACGTAGAGGTGTGGATAGTGTTTACGTGTACAGAGGAGATGAATATTGAAGGGGATCTAGGTTTGGAGATAAATACATTGAAGAGCAGAATCAACGGTTGAAGAGCACGTGTGGCATCTTTGAGAAACCTCTCCTCCATTTCAAATATGAGAAGACCATCGAGTGCAGAATGGACACTACAATATGACAACAGCCGAGAAGAAAGTGGCTTTTTCTATTCTTTTTTTCCTGGCCGTCGTCACTTGTGATGTAGGGTCTGCACTCGACGCTTTTCCATTTTCCGAACTAGAGGGTTCGTAAGCATTGTGATTGGATGCTACCACAAAATTTCCAAAGAGGTTCCTCCCACCTGAGGCGGTTGGGCGCTTAAAATGGTAGTCAGCTTAACTTTACCTACCGACTAGTCACAGCGACAAGTGATAAAGGATGAAGCATCCTTTATAAAACAACCCCAGAAAGGATGCATCGCACCTTCTACTTCAATAGAAGGAGAAAGGAAGAGGAAATGGCACCTGACTGCGGTGTGACTTATAGAATGAGTTAGCTGGAATAGGCCGATATTCACCGTAATGCTTTCAACCCTACCATGAGAAGTAGGTACTCATTGTTTATACGAGTTCACGACCCCCGTAACCATGGAAGAGTTTTTTGGCTTGATCCGCATTTGTCCTAGAATCTGATCGCCGCGCTGTACGCTCATGAAATGGCGCCTTTTGCCGCCATCACCGCCCTGTTCACCCTAAACATCAACGAAAAGGGGCGGGTATCGATCAAGATGTTTTTCTCCATTTGCTCCCCTCCTAAGCTTTTGCGTACTGGATAAAGAAATGTGGTAACTAAATAGTATACCAGAATGTAAATTGTGGTGACTGGCAGCCCCTGCGGTACATTTTCTCTGGTATGGCGCGGTCATGGCGCTCTACACTGCGTCTCGATTTCATGAGGACTAATAGGCCTTTGTGTGCTCATGAAGCCTGATAGAGAAACTCTGTGGTTAGGAGGGGAGACTTTCAGTTCTCTTCCTGGGCTCAGTTTACCATAGCTGCGCAATCATTGGAACCTAAGGTTAAGTTTGGGTTCAGGTTTAAGCATAGGACTGTGCTTACACATTGGCTTATGTTTAAGCCTTTCTTAGGCCTAGGCTTAGTCCTAAGCTTTCTTCGAACAAATAAGTGGTGTCTGCAACGCAGCCGGTTAAGAACTGGCATGTGACCTTGTACCTCGCGAATTTGGAATATCCATCAAAAAGACGTGACAGAGAGACCACGTTTCCCCGTCACTTTTTCCACTTTCAATCCCAAGCCTTCAATCATAGTTGTTTTTCAGCTGTATTATTGGCATCTGTGCAATAAATTGCTGGTCAATTTCGTCAAAATACGTCAACTACGGCTCATTAGTGCATGAGGAACAAAGAATCGACTTCTATCGATCCTTCTTCTAATGTGCCACGCATTTGATTTCCATTCAGAATTGTAGTAACATTTGAATGCGGTTTCAGAATAGAGTGAGGTAATCGCTTGGCACGCAAGTCAATTTTTTTGGTCCAAAGGGAGACAAGGGCCAGATGGACTACCCTAAAACATCGTCTTAAGCGGGATTTGATCTGAATTTTGATCCCTGGGCCACAACGGTCAGCGTTGCCCCTTGCCATAACGCTTTCTCCGCCCTACAATAAAGATAACTATTTTAAATGATGAGAGATGAAAGGTTAGCCGTTGAATTTTTATGCCTTCTAGGATTCGCCACGCATTCGACTTTACACTGGATTGCATAGAACTTTAGGCGTGGGTATAGCCTACACAACGATCGAAAGATAGCTGTAATGTTCGTTCCAACATTTTTCGTTCACCTAGGCTAATATGACACTAATCAGTGCACACGAAAAGAGGAAAAGCTCATTTGGCGAGCACAGGCCCATAAAAGCATTTTTCTAGTGCTTAGCTGCATTCGCTCGTCAAGCAGAACAGCATTGAAATTGGAATTTTCCATGGAAATGCCGTCGCTAGCGTAAGGCTCATAGAAAGGCGTATTAATTGCTTTCCGATAGTAATTGGATTTTCGGTTGGATGACAACGGGAGAGGGAGCGACAACAAAATTTCAAACTTACTACTGGACGAAATACTCTCAAGAATAAACAACGCAGCAAAGGTAAATAGCGTTAAGGAAAAATTAATAAAAAATTCGAAGTCCGCCTAATGAAGATGCGCTCATACAAGCTTCATCAGCCAATGCTTCAGTTTCACATGAGCATGAACTTGAGCATGAGCATAAGCATAGGCATGCTCATGAGAGCAGAGAGCAATAGTCAAAATTAAGTCGTTATATCAAAATATCTAAGAGCCGTACTTAATGATGTGAAAAAGTAGTAATCGCATGTTCACTCGAGCATAAATGGAACCCGACGTTTTCGATTACTTTCCACTAGAAAGCACCCAAAAGCCATGTGAGTTGTTTTTTGGAAGGATAAGATGGATGCGCCAAACACATTGTTACCATTCGAAATCGTACAAACAATAATAAGCTTATTTGAACTGCGCAATGAATTTTTCGATCCAGCTCTCCGCGCGTTTTGAAGAAAGATTTCCTTTTCACTCCTCCGATGAAAGTTAAGAGGCAGTTTGAGGTGAGCGCAGTCCATAATATATACATATTAATGGACTCAGTGTAATCGATTCATAACTTTAGCAGTTACACCGAAGGTTCTAGAGAGCTCACTGGGTTAAATCTCTTCTAAGTTGTACCAGAAAAGGAACCCTATAGCAATTCGAGGGTTGGGTTTGGCACCCTACCCGAGCTTCATGATCCAAAAACTTGGCCAAGTTGTGGAATTCAGAGTAGTAATTAGGCAGTAATTAAAAATTTGCAAAGTGGGAATGCTGCATGAAATAGCAGCTTCGACATTACCTTAGAAATTTGTGAAGAGGACGAAGATGACATGAACTGGATCTGTTTGGCGAGCAGCGAGTGTTTCGGAGAGCGATGGGCGGAGCAAGACCAGATGGCCGTTACTTCATAAATCACAACTACGGAAACCTATTCGGCTGTTTCCCATAGAATCGCTCATATGTGAGGGTTTATTTTACCAGGTGGAAATCGTTAACCCGGTATTCGTCTAACCTCGAGCATTAGCGCTCAAGTTAAGACGTGCGTTGGCGCTTGGACTCAGTGGGGCAGTGGCTCCCACCACTCAACTTAGCTGATTTGAAGTGTTTTTTTTAAAGCGCAGATTTTTCTCATCAGATCCTATAGAACATTTTCATAGGACATGTTGAAGAATGTGGGTGGCGAAAAAAACATTCTGGCTCTCTTCGGAGGGATAAAGGATACAGAGCATGGCGTTGTTCTATGCCTTTGTGCACATGCATCCGGCGCTCAACGTCTATCGGGCTTATGCAGTGAGTTAGAGGGACCAACTGATGTTCCAATCAATTTTCCTTTTCAAACATTGTCCCAAGTTATGGCGCGTGAGAGGGTAAAGACTTGGAAGGCCTGAGCCGAGACGAAAAGTGAATTATCTTCGAGGGTCGGCCTATATAGCCTCTGCGCTACCTTTATGGCATTGGATAGAGGAGTCCCTGAAGTATCCGGTGAAGGTTCATTTGTGATTGGTCCATGAAAATATCGTAGTACCGTAGGAATAATTATTTCTGTAGAAAGTCCTGCAGCTGTTGGTCCTGCAACGTCCACGTCATCAGATGTAAGTGCGTTCTTATGGACCCATTAGCCATTCCGTTTTTGGATGACAAATTTTTGAACACGAATTATTTATCATAGCTTTCTCGCGAATTAGCTCTTCAACATCCATGCATCAATTTACAACACGCCCCGGCGGAAGCGGACTGGACTAGACGCCCATAAAATTATGGAGAATCGATATCTCATTGTCAGCTTCATTCTTCGGCGCTTGTCTTCGACGTGGAGGAAGTAGGATGCACTTTTAGGTCGTATACCAGCCCGGAGGAAAACCTCACCATCTACTGCTTTTTCGCAGAGAACATGTGTTGGTCTGTTCCGGCCTGTTCTTAGGATTTGAACAACGTGGTTTGTTAACAATTCGAATAATTCGGTGAGTTGAAGCAAAAACCATGAAATGCTTGAAGTAACAAGAACGCTGAGTCATATGCAAAATATAATATTTCGCCCCTGGCGGGACTCGAACTCGCAACTGTCGCTTTACCGGGCAATGTGCTACCAGTTACCCTACCGGGGACACCATTTCACCTCAATTTTGATGACATATTTACCACAGTTTGTCAGCACCCTCATGTCAAACGCGATGGTCAGCCAACGTCGCCAGCGAAACGCTAAGCTCAAATCCATAGCAAATGTTACAATTTTGACTTGTTTTTGATTTTCAGTTGCTGTTTTTGACCACTGCGAAGTTACCACAAGAGCGCTGAGCTTAAAGGAATCTTCCACGGACCATGGACCAGTGGGCGGGACCGGAAGTTTTTGTGACGAAATGCATGGTAGGTACGGATCCACGTGTCGAACGCACGAACGTGAACAGGATTCACTTCAAACCTTCCCATGAACGTGGATCCGTACCTACCATGCATTTCGTCGCAAAACCACTTCCGGTCCCGCCCACTGGTCCATGGTCCGTGGAAGATTCCTTTAAGTTAACTTACTTATATATATCCGCACTGCTTTGACCGAAATCTTTTCCCTGTGGTATACGCGAAGCACCACTCACAATAAATGAGTAGTGATTACTTCAGAAAAGTTATGAAATTCTGTGCTATTTTCGAAGCGTGGGTTCAGAATAGCTCGTGAGTGGGTGGAAGGAACAGTCAAGAAACAGTGAAATTAAGATGAAATTCAAATGGGTACTTATGAAAAGGCTCGAGTCAGAGTAAACACTAAGCGAAGGCCTTAACCATGAAAAGTCTTAAGCTATCAATACAGGACAAATCCTCTATGAGAGTGGGAGCGGTGACATAGGCAAGTTTAAAAAGCCACTTGTTGTGCTGCTAGTAAGCTAAGAATTGTTTCCTAGTATGGGAATAAACATATAGCCACAGCCGCAATGCGCTGAAAAAAAAAGCAGAAGAAGCAGTCGAAAACACCTAAAACAAGGCACTTTGCAGTTCAATTTGAGTACGTCAGATTTGAGGGCGAGTTCACGATGAAAGACAGCTCACTACAGATCAAGGTAGAAGTTGCTTTTAATGCAGGGAGAAGAAAAATCGAGAAAAGCAATCGAGATCCGAGAACTGGTATCCTCTCTCACCGCTTATTTGCGCGTTAGGCGTGTCTCATCAGTGTGACAACATCAACGCTTGCGTTCTCTCTGCTAGGCGGCTAGAACCAGTGATGGGCGGGCAGAGGCGATAACGGCGCGGCCTGCTAAATAGTGCTGCATCATGCGGAATAATCCTCGCTGCGAATTATGTGTCGCTCCGCACCCTTAGGGGTCAGCTATACTATAATCGATAAGTTTCTCTTTCTTCGGCTTCCAACCTTACCGCTAAATTCTTCTTCTATAGCAAATTACTTGGCGCCGGAACGAGGAAACAAACAACGAGGATGCAAGGGAGTATGGAAAGTAACGACATGCAGACCCCATTCATGACGTCCCCCATGTAGGAGTCGTGAGCAAAAGTTGAGGTTACCCCTCCCTGTACCTTCTTCAAACTTCATGTCTTGGAATTTCCAACCAATGCGCTTGCGAATCATTCGACCGTTTTAACTCAAAAGTTTCGTTGCTTCAAGTAATCGTGGGTGATGTTTGTAAAGCAATAACCTCTCACTGGAATGAATCAGGGTGAAGCTTCATGAAAGCTCACGAGTACGTTACAAATTATCTAAAAAGCTATTTAAAATGATTTTATAAGCCTCTTCTCGTGGCCCTTTCTTAAGATCCGCTGGCGTGAGTGTAATTGTAGCATTACAAAAAATCAAACATTACTAGGGGTGGATTGATTGTTGACGGTGGTATTGTTGTCAACAATCTATCGAAGGAGCTTTAATTGAATCGTTTAAGTAATTTCGTCACCCTTCTAACGATCTTAATGCCTTGTGTAACGACTGCACCACACTCCGTAGATTTCAAACTGTTCCTGTCAAAGCAGCGTCCAGCTTCCAAGATCAATTAGTTACCAGACTTCCACCAGAAATGTGTAGTGGCTCGCTCGAAATATGTCCCCCGACGTTAAGCTTCATAATGAGTGCTTAGATGCTTCGGGAGGAAGTGGTGTGGTGGCAAATGGCGCTGCTCCAAGCTCGCGCTCCGGGGACTAAATAACACATCATGCGTCGTCTAAATGAACCAGGCCTTCCGTCCCTCAAGTGGCTGATTTGAACCAACCTTGCATGGAATGATAAAACCACTAACTTGCATGGACCGGCCCCCTAAGCTATTATATAGGAACGAAGATGCTACTGCGATTCCAAATGAAAGCCGAATGTGTGGAGCATCTCAGAACAAGATTGGTAAACGCCGAGCGCTCTTATCCTTTATCGTTTCATATTTAATGCTTTATTTCTGAATCAATTTCTAGGATTCTACCCACGATACATTAAAGGAATCTTGCGCGGAAAATTCTTGCACTCTTTCCTAACATGAATATGTCAGTTGTGATCACTGGAAATAGCACACAAAGTTTCACGCATGAAGTGGTTTCTGAAGAGAAACAA